GAATGGGATTGACTGCAGAGTTGGCTTACTCTTTCAAGGCGACGGAGAAGAGTGACGTGTACAGCTTCGGCGTGGTTCTTCTAGAGCTAGTGACCGGTCTTCGGCCAGTGGAAGACAAGTTCGGAGAGGGCAAAGACATTGTTGACTATGTCTTCTCTCAGATTCAACAAGATCGGAGGAACCTTCGAAATGTCTTGGACAAGCAACTTTTATCGTCGTATGTAGAAGAAAGCATGATTAAGGTTCTGAAAATGGGTCTTCTCTGCACCACGAAGCTCCCGAATCTCAGACCGACTATGAGAGAGGTCGTGAGAAAGCTTGATGATGCTGATCCCTGCGTCTCCAATTCTTTAGACAAATCACGAATGATTACGGTATAGGTTAATGCATCAATAACCTGATTAAGTTTGTTCAGAACTCGAGTAAAATGCGAGAGACTAGTGTATCCTATCCATAAAGTTTGCAGTGAAAAGTCAGAGTTATCAGAAAGAGACTTCGATTAATTTCTCCAGTAAACATAAATTTCTAGGCACGATATTAACCACTTAAAATGCAATCTCATCAATTGACGAATTCGATTCCGGTGAATGGAAGTCCTCTATGCAACTGTATGGCGACGTCTCCGACCACCTGCATTTTATAACAGTTGAGTTTAGAATCTGTTTAAGACAAATGCAGAAAATATATTAAAAGAGAGTGTATCTTCCTCGGATAATTTACCTTGGCCATGGACCTATATGAATATTCCGTAACTCCAGCAACATGAGGGGTTATAATGACGTTTTTGAACTTCAAAATCGGATCGTTTGGATCAAACGGCTCAGACCACGCCACGTCAGTCCCAAGGCCTCCTAAATGACCGGACTCTAGATTTTGGTAAGTTGATTCATAGTTAATCAGACGGCCTCGGGCAATATTTATAAGAAGAGCCCCCTGAAACAACAAAGAGGTATCACCAGTCATCAGTCATTTAACTCCAATCCATCCAACTCTGTTTTTCCATATATGAATCACCTTTTTCATTGAAGATATGAACTTCTTGTTCACGATTTCGGCCTAAAATTTATAAGATCACCATGTACAAACTATCAGTTAGACATACAAAGGTATATAATCAATGTATATAATAATAAGTTGCAGATGGGTTTTCACTACCAAGCACATCTCTTGCATATATCTTTCATGTGCTTGCCCAGTTTATAGTAAAGGAGAAGTTGAACATTACCGTTTCTTTGTTCAGTCTCAAACAAACGACGACTATATCTGCTTTGCCCGCGAATGTGTAAATGTCTTCATGGCTACCTTTCTCATCAACTAGACCGGCTGAAGATACAAGTTTAAGAAATTACTAGACCCCGGGATGGACTTGTCAAGGCAAACAAAGGAGTTAACAAAGAGCCCATACATTCTGAGTCGTTGATAGAATCAGGCCAGCTTCTCTTTGTGGCTATTACTCTCGACCCAAACGGCCGCAACCGTTTCGCTAGCTCCATTCCAATGTTTCCATATCCCAAGATAAATACCTGTACAAAAGAAGATGAACAAAAAAAAAAAACCTTATCGTAAGGGAATACAAACCAAAGATATAGAATGCAGATATAAAAGATCACACTGCGACTCACAGTTTTACCGAGAAGCGTGCCACCAGTTGGCTCTCCAAGCAGCCTGCTTTGCACGGAAATCTGCATTTCGTTCTGCAAGAAAGCAAAATCAGAGCAAGTACTTAAACTTGGGAGATTAAGAGGCATTCTAATGAAGCCATACAGAGACAAATCAAATAAATAAACCACCTGTTTCTTAAGAAGGCCCAGCATTAGATATATAGCCATTTCGGAACAAGACGCTGCGTTTCCGGTACCCTCACTAGGAATTCTAGCGACCTTGATCCCATGTTTAGTAGCAGCGTCAATGTCAACACCTTCACACGAATGCAGCTTAGATAGGTACACACTTAAGCTCTCTCAAGTAACAAAATGAGAGAGATACCTTCAAGACCAACACCATACTGCATAATAAGCTTCATCTTACTCGCACGAGATATAACATTCGAATCCAATTGCATCGACATAACAACACATATGTTATAGTTCTTTATAACCTCAGGAACATCACGGAGATGGACAACATCAGCCTATATGAACCAAACACAAATTTGTTTACTTTGAAACCAGAAATCAAACACAATCACCTACACAAGAATAATTAGTTAGTTACCTGAATAAAAGGGTAAGGTTGCAAGTATTCTCTTGTGAAATTGAAGGAAGCAGGAAAGTGAGGACCGCAAAAGAGAACACGAGTTACTTCCTTGTCGTCCTTATCAACCATTCTTCTTCTCTCAGGCTTACTTCGGCTATATCAACAAAAATCCAGATGGATTAAGACAAGGTCGTAAAACTACACGAGATGATTCTATTACTGCAATTCGACTCAGAATCTACAAATTCGTTGGTCGGAAATCAAGAAACAGAGGATGATGAATTTTGATTCACACCTGTAGATTGAGCGAGAGTGGTGGAGAGAGTAGAAGAGCGAAGCGACAATGGAGTTTCTGTTTCGAAACGCAGTTTTGGCGATTTTGTACATTTTTTTTTTTTGTCATAACTCAGACTCTCATTTGCAACCGTTGATGCGTTTTAAGTAACAAGCTTTGTCTGTAATGACAAAAACAAGCTTTGTGTAATTTCATACGTCTCCCGTATAATTAGTTTATTACAATTTAGCCCCAAAATTGTATAAAATATCATGTTCAACCTTAATTCTGATTCCTCCTTACGTCTTGTATTCGCAACACAAGGATAAAATCACAAAAACCGTTTTCTAT